GAGCCTGGGGGTGCTGAGCCTGGGAGTGCTGTGCCTGGGAGTGCTGTGCCTGGGGGTGCTGTGCCTGGGGGTGCTTCGTCTCGCCGAGAGCCACTCCCCCCACAGGAGCTGCGTGAGTGGTTTGCCAGGCGCTGGAGGCGTGCTGCTGGTGCTGGTGGTTCTTCGGCTGCAGAGGGTACTGCTGCCACGCGTCCTGGCAGTGCTGTGGGTGCTGGAGCTGCTGGGTCTGAGAGTTCTCCTGGAGCTGGTCCTGCTGAGAGTGTTGGCGCTGAGCCTGCGGTTGGCGGTCCGACTGACAGTGTTCCTGGTGCTGCTGCTGGAGGTTCTGGAGCTTCTGGTGTTTCTGCTGGAGGTGCTGCTGGGGTGGGTGCTCCGGACGGGACTGCTGCTGCTGTTCCCGCTGTTTCTGGTGTCGCCGCGCGGCCCCGACCGTACTTCGTTCCGCTCCTGCAGCAGGTTCTTGGTCTTGCACCTCCTCCTGCTCCCTTAGAGGGTCCGCAGCCTGTTCGGTCGCAGCCACAGCTACAGCCTGCCTCCCCTTTGCCTGCTCCTTCTCCCTACGCTGGTCCGACTGGAGGTCTTACTGAGCGTTGTGAGCCTGCGTCTCGTCCTGCGTCGCCTGTTCGTACTGAGCGCGCTAGTGGTCGTGGTTCGCGTCAGCGTCCTCCTCCTGTCCCTGGCACGCACCGGATGTCACTGCGTCCGTCCACTGCTCCTCTGCGTGCCCCTTTGCCTTCTCCTCCTGCTTCCTCTCTTCCTGCACTTGCCGACCCTGAGTCGGACGCTCTTCGCGCTGCCAGTCCTACTGTCACGCGTCTCCTTGCTACTGCTGTCACTGACCCTTCCTTCGAGTCGTCCGCTGCGTCTGCCCTTGTCACTGAGCTTGTCGACTTTGCTGCGCGCTGTCGTCTAGACTACGCTGCTCGTCTTGTCACTGAGTCTGAGTCCGCCTGTCCTCCGTCCGTCGGGGGTGCGTGTGCCCTTGGCACGGACGTCCTTGAGGACAGGCAGGAGGAGTTCCAGTGTCTAGCCGCTGCTTCACCTCGTCTTGCGTCTGTACTGCTAGCCCCTGAGGGAGACCCGGATGCACCAGACATCCCGACTCCGCGCTCTTACGCGGAGGCGATAGAGGGTCCCTACTCCTCTCAGTGGCAGGCAGCTATGGATGCAGAGATGGCTTCATGGAAGTCCACAGGCACCTACGTTGACGCTGTTCCCCCTCCTGGGGCGAACATAGTCAGTGGCATGTGGATTTTCAGGGTGAAGCGGCCGCCGGGTTCTCCGCCTGTCTTCAAGGCGCGTTACGTGGCTCGTGGCTTCAGTCAGCGGCAGGGGGTTGACTACTTTCAGACCTTCTCCCCCACCCCGAAGATGACCACTCTTCGGGTTCTGCTGCACGTTGCTGCTCACCGTGACTACGAGCTGCACTCTCTTGACTTCAGCACTGCTTTCTTGCAGGGCAGCCTGCACGAGGAGATCTGGCTGCGTCGCCCACCTGGCTTCACTGGGTCTTTCCCTCCTGGTACCCAGTGGAGTCTCCGGCGTCCAGTCTACGGTCTCCGCCAGGCGCCACGTGAGTGGCACGACACACTGAGGACTACGCTCGCGGCACTTGGGTTTGCTCCTTCTACTGCCGACCCGTCGCTGTTTCTTCGCACCGACACCTCTCTGCCGCCGTTCTACATCCTCGTGTACGTCGACGACTTGGTCTTTGCCACAGCTGACACTGCTGGACTCGCCTACGTGAAGTCCGAGCTGCTGAAGAGACACACGTGCACTGACCTGGGTGAACTGCGCAGCTACCTTGGCTTGCAGATCACCCGGGACAGAGCGCGCCGCACCATTACCCTGACTCAGTCACACATGGTGCAGCAGGTCCTTCAGCGCTTCGGCTTCACGTACTCCTCGCCTCACGCCACTCCTCTGCCTACTCGCCACTCGCTCTCAGCTCTGCCTTCGGATGAGTCCGTAGAGTCGAGTGGCCCGTTTGCAGAGCTTGTTGGCTGTCTCATGTACCTGATGACCTGCACAAGACCTGACCTCGCATACCCTCTTAGCATTCTCGCACGCTTTGTTGCTCCTGGGAGACACCGACCAGAGCACATGGCTGCAGCGAAGAGGGTGTTGCGCTACTTGTGCAGTACGTCGGGCATGGGGCTAGTGCTTGGAGGGCGCAGTCCAGTGGTCCTCACTGGGCACGCAGACGCTTCTTGGGCTGACGACCAGGCTACGCAGCGGTCGTCACAGGGTTACACCTTCAGCCTAGGTTCCGGCTCTGTCTCGTGGCGGGCTACCCGCTCGTCTTCTGTTCTCGGCTCCAGTTGTGAGGCTGAGATCTACGCTGGGGCTATGGCTGCATAGGAGTTACGCTGGCTCACCTACTTGCTGACCGACCTTGGAGAGCAGCCTCGTTCTCCTCCAGTCCTGTACGTAGACAACAAGGCCATGCTGGCCTTGTGTCGAGAGCAGCGACTGGAGCACAGGACAAAGCACATTGCTCTCCGCTACTTTCTTGCTCGTGAGCTACAGCAGCGTGGACAGCTACGACTTGCTTACGTGGCCTCTGAGGCCAACACTGCTGATGTGTTCACCAAGGCACTTGCGCCTTGTGATCATCAGCGTTGTTGCACGCAGTTGGGTCTTGTGGCTGTCTTGCCTCACTTGCTCTCCTCTTGACCTTGCTTGTACCTTCGCCTATATATACTCTTGCTCTTGCTTGCTTGATTCTTGTATATCTCTATATATGATCTTGCATGTAAACTGGCCTTCTGGCCTTTGAACTTGTGCTCGGAATGCGTGGTGACTTTGTGATCCACCCTGAGCTTTGCTTTGCTTTGCTTGACTGGTCTTGTGACCCCTTGTTCTCCCCCACTTTGCCTATGGGGGTGTGTCAGAACATATAGCTTACTTGTTTCTGTAGGCTATAGTGGGGTATCCCATAGGGGGTACAACCCAATTAGGGTTTCCTATTTGTACCCACTTCTTTTCATAGTCATCCACTTCTCGTTCGTACTTTCTCAGGACCTCCACGCTGGCTTGGGTCGAAGCAGGGTGGCCGTTGTGGCTTGAGTGGCATTGGCGCCATAATGGCCTGTTTGCCACTTGTCGCCGCGAATTCCACGTGCCGACTGGCTTCGCGAGGCTCCCGCGGGCTTGGTGCGACCCTGTTTCCTCCCATGCCAGGCATCGGCTGGGCGGCGCCATCACTGGCTGCGCTTGAGCGCTATCCCACGCTGTTGTTTTGTGTTGGTGTGCTGGACGAAATGATGATCGGCTCGTCCGATTGTGCAGATGCATTTGTTGGTGCGTGTGGTGGAGCTGGGGTGTTCACCGTTGATTGCTGACGCGCGGAGTCACATTCCGTCGTGAGCGTCGCAATTTCGAGCGCCGAATCTTCAAGTTGGCGCACCAGACGGTCGAGCTGCTCCTGCGTCAATGTTGCGAGCGTGAATTCGGCCATGGCGGGGGTGTCGAGCAAGCTCAGCGAGAGCCTCGGTCGTGGCCGTGCGTGCTTACGAGAGAGCAGTACGAGCGGCGATGCTGTGTCGCTGAGAGACGTCTACCCCCTCCTAGAAATTGAGATAGTGAGGAAGCGAAGGTGTGGGTGCGGTCCGAGAAGAGATTGTAGGCTCTGAATACCAAGTGTTACAAGTGCAAATGAGTAAGTGAGCGAGAATTGCACTATTGAAGCAAGAGTACAATGAGCGAAGGCATGAGCGAAGAATATATAGCGAAACTACAGTGGTAATGGTAATGGACTGTGGTTGTTGCGTGACGGGCCTGGGACTGAGGTTGGGAAAAGTGTCAAAGCGGAGGCCCGGAGCGCGGGTTACCCGCCGAGCCGCGAGGTCGGGGTGCGACGTGCGAAGATGGCGGGAGGATTGTCGATGCGAGAGTTGCGAGTGGAAACTGTGCTGACTGTGGTGCTACAGTGGTGTACGCGCTGAGCGGGGACGCGAAGTAAGGAAAAGGAATTTTCCTTACAGGGGTAGTGCACTTTCATTCCAATGTTGCGTATTGTGTTCGTTGAATAGCTTGCCTTGTACATATGCTGGCTATAAACGTTAGCGATGCACACACAAGCGGGGAAACATTTCCTTCCCACACAACACCCCAAACCATAACACGCCGGGACTGCCCATCAGCCAAGTCCATGGCGGTCGGCTTGTTCTGGAACTAGAAGCAATGCCAGTGCTTTCATTCAAACAGTATACTCTTATCCCTTGCGCGCCGAACCATCTATCACGGAATCTAGACTCCTTTTAGCAATTTGAGGAGCGCGTCGCGTTTAGTCCGTCCAATCGGAGAGGCATCATGGCCCCGCATGACGCCACCGAAATTCCATCGTGGATGGCAGATGTCGCCAGGTCAGCTTCCCACCTTTTATATTTCTTTCTTTATTTCCCCACAGACGCAGCCTTTTCGTCGCGGTGCCAGGTTCTTGGAGCCGCGTAGTTTCCTTCGCGAGCCTGCTCTTAGTGGATGGAACGTCGCTCGCTCCCTCCGTTGGTGCCTTGCGGGCAGATGAGAGAGCCAGAGAGAGAGCGAGCGAGAAAGAGAGAGGGAGGCAACGTGGCCTTCACTTCACAGCTTCGCACCACACGCATAGAGTGTGTGTGATGGAGGATCAAAGTGCAGGTTCAAGTGAACCCCTCCATGGCATACCATGCCAGGATCGGGGTCTTATTACCTCTTTCCTGACCGCTGTCCGCAAGGCTTGTTAGAACCGATTTTCTGGCTGGTGTCGTAGGACTAGATTTGCTCGAAGAAACGGTTAAGAAACAGCTCCGGTGGCTTTGCGTCACCTCCACCTCTCGTCAGCTCCTTAACCGTTTCTCGAATAGCCGAAATACGCGCGCAGACTTGTCTCTCTCCCCTCTGAAACTTGCTTCTGGTGCCACACCGTACTGCTACCCTCCCAGATCTTACTTTCCCTTCCCCTCAGATGTCGTTTTTCTAATTTTCAAAAGTCGTTTCTTTACCCCTGAATAGTCGACCACATGGTTTGTGGACGCAGGACAAGCTATCACCCTACAATCCGCTCGCATTGCCAAACCCTACTGTCGTCCGATGGAACCAACCTTCTCTCGCCCCATCTCCTCCGCTTCTTCCTCTCCCCTTCCCTCCTCTCCCCACCCCTCCTCTCCCCTCCCCTCCTCTTCCTCTCCCCTCCTCTTCCCCTCCCCTCCTCTTCCCCTCCCTTCCCCTCCCATCCTCTTCCCCTCCCTCCTCCTCCCCTTTTCTTCCCCTTCCCTCCTCCCACCTCCGTCCCCCACCCACTGTTGGTCCCTCTCTGCTCTACCCCACCTCCCATCCTTCAACCCCCTCTCCTTCACCCTCCTTCCCCACCTACACCCCCCTCCCCCCCCTCACCCCCCTTGTGCGCCACCAGTCTGGACGACCCGGCGAAGCTCACAGCGCCCATCAAGAGCGCAGTGGACAAGTTTGCGCTGCTGCCGGCCTTCCTCAAGGTGCGTACGTGTGCGAGCATCCCTCAACGTCATTGAAAACGAGGCGCCTCGAAAGCCGATTTATGAGGTGTCGAACCATTAAGACCGCTGTGCACTGGATGCGTTTGTGCTGCTCTCCGCGTGGCGCTCCTCACCTCAGGATGCCCCCGCTCCTGCATAATAATAACCCAACGCCTTTACATGTTTTCTCTCGCTCTGCCCGTATTCTGCATCTGTTTCTGTTTCTGATCCTGTTTTTGATTCTGATTCTGATTTGGAATTTTGAAATTTCGGCCCTGCCTTCCATCCTTGATTTTGTTTTTTCTGCCCTGCCTGCCATCCTAATCCGCGGGAAGCGTCTGCCCCGCTGGAGTACATCACACACTTCCTTAAACCCGAACCCCTAGGGTTTTTCCAGAGCTCTGAGAAGGAGTTTCTGACAGCCATCTCAACACCCAAACTCACTTTCGTTGTGGCCGGAGTGAGCATATGCTGCACATCAGGTGCGTGGAGTGGAGTGGACTGGTGAAGCACCACGCACGCAGCAGACTCCTCCCGGGCATCTCACTCACCCTCCCCCTTCTTTTTATTCACCTCCTTCCGCCTCCCCCCCCACCCCCTCCTCACCTCTTACCCCCCTCCACCCCCGCACTGAGCATCATCATCAGGTGCGTGGGCTGGTGAAGCAGCACGTGGGCTCGCTAGAGGCACCTCATCTCCCCCTAATCCCTACCCCACCCCCATTTTCCCACCGCCCCTGGCCCACACCACTCACTGAGCATCATTATGACCAGGTGCGCGGGCTGGTGAAGCAGCACGTGGACTCGTTCAACTACTTTGTCAACTGCGACATCAAGAAGATCATCCACGCCAAGGCCAACGAGCGCGTCACCTGCGACACCGATTCCAACTTCTACCTCAAGTCAGTGCCCACTGCCCACGCAGGGTTTAAAGGTTCAGGTTGTAGGGAAAGGAAACCCTTGCAGTTGCTAACAGGAAACTCAACAAGGGAAAACAGCTTGGAAACCCTGTACTTTAAACCCTGAACCCAGGGGAGGTTAAAGGAGATTATCCACGCTAGCCACCGAGCTTGTTAATACCAAACAATGACCCCAATATATTCTGTACCACAAGACAAGTGAGTCTGGCACCCCTTAGGGCTCGCCTGCTTGAGTCAACTCAAGAATATTTTTATTGATGAGACAAGTGAACCCTAAGACTCGATTGATGAATGAACCTGAAATGCGCTGAACCGCGGCAGCTTATTGATGGGTCATGTCACATGTGTGACACGACCCGTGAATCTTTGCTCGGGTAAGTCTCCATCGGACTTGCTTACAGGGAGCCTGAAAGGGAGCATGAAGATCAACCCCCCCAGCGCTCCCGTTGAGGCCAAGAGACCTGAGTTCCGCAACTCTCTCTCTCTCTCTCTCTCTCTCTCTCTCTCTCTCTCTCTCTCTCTCTCTCTCTCTCTCTCTCTCTCTCTCTCTCTCTCTCTCTCAAATGGTCCTTTCATTGGTTATTACAGGAGTTACAGGCATGCAAGGTGGTGGCTAATTTGTGAGTCTTGTGCACAAAAGGCTCTTACTACTCCCTTATCACTTCCCCCCCCTCCCCTAAGCTAGGTCCAGTGCAGGATCGAGGACCGAGAGGTAGTCCCCTAGGGACGGTGCCTCCCCCACCACCTCCAGCAGTGGGTTTTCTACTGCAGCCGCTATGTTGCACTTCTCCAAGTAACCAATCGACTGCCCCCTTTGAAGCGCCACCGACCACCGCTGCCGATATTGGTGTAGGAGTTTGGCAGCTTGGTAGGAGGTGGGCTCGGCGTTAAAGAACTGCCTTGCAGCCGTCTCCGCGAGCAGCTTTAGGAAATCTACTGTCTCAGGGCAAGGGCACCCATAAGTCTCGACCGCGAGCGGGAAAAACTTCACCCACTCTGGGCGGTCCTGTAGAGGCCGTGCTTCTTATCTGCTGCTTCCCGTGCCGCCCACCCCCGCCCCTTAGTTGCATTTTCGTCGCGGGTGCTGATGGGGTCTGTCACCGTCACATCACAGATGTAGACAGCTCCAGTACGGCGGCAGCGGAGGGCCAGGTCCGCCTTCTTCTCCTCCACTGGGCTGAAAGCGGCCGATTCAATGTGCACCATGAAGCCTGCGTCGCGCGCCATCTGCGCGCATTCGTCTCTGAGTTCATTGTGTGTGTTCGTGCGCCCCCCCCCAGTCCCACATCGTAGCAGGTGGTTTGGGAGCCGCTTGTCTGGGATTTCCACCTTCTTCGAGCAATTGCAGACCCCGGGAGCCGCAAAGGGGAGCCCCAACCGGAACTGGAGCGCGTTGGCGTAGTGCGGAGCCTCGAGGTGTAGCGCGCGGTGCAGTGGCACCGCATTTAACCAATCCCCTGCCCCGTACCCCGACAGGGACATCATCCGCTGCGTGTGACCATTGTTCGGGTTCGGGTTCATCCCCCTCGCCTCCTCCACTTGGACAGCATAGCGCTGGCCTTGGAAGCCGTGGCCAGGCCGTGCTGTAGCTTCCCTGCGGTTGGGGCTGTTCTCTCTGCTTGCAAGGCTTCCTGAACTGGCAGGGGGAGCTCCTCCTCGCATTTCGCGAGCCATTCGGTCAAGGGGGAGGCCTGGGTGTAGGGACCGCGCATCAGCTCTCAAGTGGCTTCCAGTGGGCCGGTGCATTCGTCCTCAAGGGCGTCCAGTAGGAGATGAGCCTGCGTGTAGCTGGCGAGGAAGCTGTAGCTTCCCTCCACGGACGGGTCTGTCAGTCCGAGCCCCCCAAGCGAAACGGGGAGGGAGGCCTGCGCCCATGTGCGTGAGATTTCCTCCTCCCCCCTTGGGTGATTTATGCCGCATGCCGTGAGCAGGGTATCCAGCAGTCGCCTCCCCCATTCGGACCACTCCACCTGGGGCAAGGACGGAAGGGGAGTCGTGCGGGCCAAATAGGACACTCGGCGCGAGACGCACCGAGACAGCAGCAGTCCCGCCAGCTGAGGCTCCATACGTTCTATCAATCCTAGCGGCGCTCCCATCCCTTCCAGGCTGGAACGTATGAAAGCGGATGTGGCTGTTGGGGTGCCGATGTAACTGCCCAGCACTTTCAACCCGTCGCAGCTGAGTGGAACCCCCTCGGGCAGGGTGTGGTCCGCCGGCGATCTATTGGACCAGGCCCCACACTTGGCGGGGTTGTGTTTGAGCCCTATGTCCGCCAGGAGGCTGGTGAAATGATCAAAGGCGGCCGCACATGACGACGGGTCCCCTAAGAAGGTAACATCGTCCGCGTAAGCAAGGCAGATGACTTCCGGATGCGCCTCCGCAGCCGCCTTCAGGGCTGGTTGCATGGCCGCGGCAAAAAGAAGGGGGCCGAGGGGGTCCCCTTGGCGGACTCCGGTCTCGCTGAGCAAGGGCGCGTGGTCAAAAGCTGCGTCCAGGTGAAGTGCAGACGGCTGGCCGTAAGAGAAGATCACCAAAGGCAGTAGAGGCTCCAGCTGCGAGCCTTTCAGCGCTGTAGCTATGGCGAGGCGATCGACGCTGTTGAAGGCGTTAGCTAGATCCGCCTGCAGGACTAGCGCCTCCGGATTGGCCGAGGTGAAAGTTCTAACAATGTGGATCACTGCTTGTGCTCCTCCCGGCACGGCAACTCCAAACTGTAATGGTAAGAAAAATTCTCTAGCCGCTTCTGCCAGCTGAGTAAGTGCTGCTTTGGCTGCCAGCCGTAGGAGGCATTCACCTATTGCTATTGGTCTGGTCCCTCCGTCTGGCTTGTCGAGGGCTATCAAACGTGATGCGGTAAGAAGCCCCCCAACCTCCGACCACAGCTTCCCGCGAAGGATCGTGTTGACAAGCGCATGTAAGTGAGAGCTGACCGCCGTGTGCATCAGTGCGGCTTCGCGCAGGTGTTCGAACGTCGTGCCTGAGGGGCCTGCACCAACCCCATTTTCACATTTTGAGAGAAGCTTCAAGAAGACTTCTCGCGACACTGCCAGGTAAGTGTCCGGCTCAGGCTGGGGCCACGGTGTGTCAGGGTGCTGGGCCCGGGGGTGTTTGGCGCGTAGAGATTCCAGAACTTCTGGGGTCGGCTTGCTGACTGGCGTCGCTTCAAGTGCCATGACAGCCCTTTGCAGACTGCCACGTCGCGCCAGACCTTCTGCCCTAGAGATAACCCCCAGGTCATCGGGTTGGTGCCTGGGGGGTGGGGGCAGCTCCAGCGAATCCACCGTCTCCAGGTAAAGTGATTCCCACTCCCCTCGCAGGAACTTACGCAGTCTGCTTCTGGTCGCCTTCCAATCGGGGTGCTTAGGCGACTGCTGACGCAATGTCAGGCGAGCGGCAAACAGCAAAACCGTCCAGGCTTGGGTGCAATCAGGGTCGTCGGCGAGTCGCAGCAGTGGTGTCAGTAAGACCATTGCGAAAAGCAGGCGCAACTTTTCCGGAAGGCGACGTGCTAGAGGTTCGTTGCGACTGTCGCGTAGATTGTCCAGATTCCAATTTCCAGTTACTGACGCTTGCGAAAAGCGTGTCATCCTTGGCGAGGGCTTCGGGCGATTTTTGGGGGAGGGGTTGTGACTGCTGTTGGTTACCCCTTGCTGCAGTTCGTGGGGTAATCGCAGGTGTTGGTGGCAGGATTTGTTGGGCGGGCTGGTTGGCAGTGGTGTCAGGGTGGTTGGGAGCGGTACGAATCTGTGGGGATGGTCGCGGCTGGGTGGGAGCGTGAATGGAATTTGTTGCCGCGCTTCGGGCGTGGGTTGGGTTGCCTCTCTGCTGTGCAGGAGTCTGTGATTGGGCCTCCTCTGAGGCGTTCAAACTTGAGTCTGCATCCTCCTCCTCCGCCTCATAAATACTCCCCGACAAAGCATCTGCCTCATTAGCTCATACCAACTCGTTCAAGCCCTACGCGCCGCTGCCTGGAACACGTTCTCCGGTCCGCCTTCGCGTATACTCCTTCCACGCCCTCGCGCTCCGGCACGGCCTCCGCGCGTCCGCGCATTTGCTGCCGCTGACAGCGGATTCCCTCGACTCGCTCCTCCTGGGTTCTGGCGCGACCTTACGTCCTCGATCGCCTGCTGCCGACGCGTTCGCCGTAATGGCGACTGAAGCGGAGAAGTCGGCGGTGGACCAAGGTCACACCGCTGAGAATGCGATTGCCCCGCCTCCGGCCCCTGTCGCCGATGTTGCCATTGCTGCTGCTCCCCTGCTCCCCCTGGCTCCACCTGCTGTTGTTGCGACATCCGCGGTTCCGCTCCCCCTGTCGCCGGCTCCCCCGCCAAACCTTCCGCACGCTGGATTCGTGTCCGGCGCGCCGGTTCCTGTTGCGCAGCCGCCCGCCCAAGCTGTCGCTGGGGGCCCTGCGTTGGGGACAGCGGTGGGCGCCGGCCCCGATTCAGCCCACTTAGTTGCCCCATCAGCTGCGCCGGTGAAACCTGTCGCGCAGCGGCTCGCGGAGTCCCAGATACACCCTGCCGCGGGTGGCAATGCGGCAGCGCATCGGGGGCGAGGTTCTCCTCGGCGTCGCCCCTCCTCGTCATATCGTTCGGCTCACCGCGGAGGTCGTGGTGGCTGGTGGGGAGGTCACGGTCACGGGCGCGGTGGACCAAGCGAGATGCAGCAGCTGCGCGAGGATTTCCCGGGGATGCTCGCTGCGGCGATGCGCAACGCTCTGAATGGCGCACCGAATCTTGGTAGCTCCCCGGCTCCCGCCGCTCCTGCGCCCGCGCCCGCTCCTGTGAATGTGCAGGATCCGGCTGCGCCCCTTGATGCGCCTGCTCCGCATGCATCTGCGTACCCGCGGGCTCCACCTCCTGGCAGTGACCGTGCTCCGCCCGCCTACGATCGTCCTGTGTCCGCCTCGCAGTATCCGCCCCTGCCCTGGATTCCCCCTCTTCCAGACACGGGATTTGTGGGAGCGGGAGGCGGAGGGGCGAGGGGAGCCTTCGTTCCTCCGCGTCGTTTTGCTGAAGCTCCGTCCGTGCAGCCGCCGCCCCCTCTTCCCATTCCGAGTGCCGCGTTGAGGACGGGAATGGCTCAAGTTCCCACGGCGAACCTCGCGCAGCTGTGGCGCTTGGTGGAGTGCCAGCAGGCCCTGACACTGATTCTGGTGAATGCGCACTTCGCCATTCTCCAGAGCCCAGGGAGCACTCTCGGTCGTGAGGCGCGAGGAGATTGCTTGGCGGCGGCTGCGCAACTTGCCTTCCTCCTCCTACCCTTGCTGGGAGCGCACGCGATGGGAGGCGTTGCGGTTTCAGAACTGGACGGAGCGGTCCAGGGTCTGACCGCACACCTCCAGGCTGGTGGCGGGGTTGAAGCTGTAGGCGCGACCGCGTTAGTGGTCCAGCAACTGTGGAGGGCCATGCGCGGTATCCTTGCGGCGCTGGAGGCCCATCTGATGTAGTTTCCGGCGCCCTCCGCGCGTAGACCCTTTGCATCTCGTGGTCTATAAGTTGGGCAAGTGGCCCATTGCTGTCTTGTGTTGTTTGGTTATTTTTGTCTTGCTGCTAAACCTTGCCTTCCCAAAGCACGCGGCCGAAGGCCGCGCAACGCGAGCGCTGGCGGCCGCAGGCCGCCGGCGCGAGCGCCTACGGGAAACTGAAAAAACAGAATGAACTAATGAGGAGAGAGGCCCCTACGGGACCCTTATATAGCTTGGAGGCAAGGGACAGAGGCAAGGGACAGAGGCTAAGTCCTCTCTCTCTCTCGCTCTCTCCGCCTACGGGAAACTGAAAAAACAGAATGAACTAATGAGGAGAGAGGCCCCTACGGGACCCTTATATAGCTTGGAGGCAAGGGACAGAGGCAAGGGACAGAGGCTAAGTCCTCTCTCTCTCTCTCTCTCTCTCTCTCTCTCTCTCTCTCTCTCTCTCTCTCTCTCTCTCTCTCTCTCTCTCTCTCTCTCTCTCTCTCTCTCTCTCTCTCTCCGTTTCACCCCTTGTCCTCACTGGCTCTTCCCCGCTCTTATCCCCCCCTCCACCCGCCTTCCTGTGGTGCCGGGCAGGTACTTGGACATATTCGTGGGCAAGCCGAGCGTGCAGGAGGACTATGTGATGGAGGATATCACCCCGCAGAACTGCCGCCTACGAGACATGACGTGCGTGTGTTAGGAGGAGAGGGGGGAAACTGGAGAAGTTTGGGCGAGGAAGGGAGGTTTGGAGAAGGGGTAGGGGTAAGGTCTGCGCTTGGGGGGAAGTGGTGGTGGTTTTTGAGTCGAGTGCAGGAGGACTGTGCGATGGAGGGCATTACTCCGCGCCGTGGAACTGACGTGCTGGACTATACTGCCTCCGGGACGTGACATGATGTGCGTGTGCCACACCTGCTGGATTGTAAGAAAGTTGAGGGGAGGAGGGGTTGAGAAGGGGGGCGTTTTGGGAGAGGGGGGAGGGTTGAGGAGGGGTAGTGGGAAGGTCTGGGTTTTGGGAGAAGCGGGGGTTGAAGGTCAGGAGCATTGAGGAGGGGAGGGGAGTTGTGGTTTATGGTGAGGGTATTGACCTGGATGGAAAGGGTATTTAGAAGGGAAGGGGCTGTGGACGTGTGAGAATGACGGACATGACTTACATGTCCTATATGTGGTGTTTGAGCAAGGCAATAGCAAATCCTGCCATCCACCCCATGCACCCCATACAACTCCCTCCACCCATTCGCACCCCTTTCCATCCCTCGTAGCTTCGCAGCGCCGATCACTGTGGACGTGGCGTACACACGTGGCAAGGAGATCGTGCATATGGTGGGAGCAAGGCAGTTTCAAATCCCACCATGTACCCCCATTGCAACCCCCTCCACCACTTCACACCCAACGTCAACCATTCGCGCCCATCTCCACCCACTGCAGCTACGCGGCGCCCATCACAGTGGACGTGGAGTACACACGTGGCAAGGAGATTGTGCTTATGGTGGCGGAAACGTGTTATCCCATTGCACCCCCCTCTACCCATTTGCACCCCTTGCAGCTATGCGGCGCCCATCACAGTGGACGTGGAGTACACACGTGGCAAGGAGATCGTGCGGCGGGTGGGCAAAGACGGGCAGGGGGCGCTGCTGATCGGGCGCATTCCCCTCATGCTGCGATCAGACCACTGTGTGCTGCACGGCAAGAACGAGCAGGAGCTCGCCAAGCTAGGTAAGCTGGGCTTGCTCTTGAGGCGCGTTTAAAGCAGGGGGCAGGGGACAGGGGGAAGGGGACAAGGGGCAAGGCGCAAGGGGCAGGGGTCAGGGGGCAGGGGCAAGGGGCCAGGGGGCAGGGGGCAGGGGGCGCTGCTCGTTGGGCGCATCCCCCTCATGCTGCGCTGCGCTCCGACCGACCACTGTGTGCTGCACGGCAAGAACGAGTGTGACCAGGGTCCAGGCCTGCCCCAAAAGTATCTTTGCCTTCTTTTCGTTCCATTCAACGCCAAGACTTTATGTATTGGTGGGGGGCATTCGGTTTTCCTGCGGGTACCGTACCAGTACCGGTATGGCCTCGAAGCACTTCCTTCTTATAGTAAGTCTGTGACATTCTCACCATTCCCGTGCTTGACAGCTTGCTTGCATGCACCCTATGTCCCCTTGCCCGTGAACACTCCCATCCCATGCCATGCCATGTGCCCCATCCATAGGCGAGTGTCCCCTGGACCCAGGAGGCTACTTCGTGGTGAAGACTTAGACTCGGCTCAAAAAGAACTTCCATGCTGGATTGCTTGCACCCACCTGCTCTGCCCGGATACACTCCCATCCCATCCCATCCCATGCCATGTGCTCCACCCATAGGCGAGTGTCCCCTGGACCCAGGAGGCTACTTCGTGGTGAAGGGCGTGGAGAAGGTGAGGCAGGGCGGTGAGGCGGGGGGGTGAGACGGGGGGGCGAGACGGGGGGGCGAGACGGGGGGGCGAGACGGGGGGGCGAGACGGGGGGGCGAGACGGGGGGGCGAGATGGGGCGGTGAGGCGGGGGGGTGAGGCAGGGGGGTGAGACGGGGGGGCGAGACGGGGGGGCGAGACGGGGGGGCGAGACGGGGGGGCGAGACGGGGGGGCGAGATGGGGCGGTGAGGCGGGGGGGCGAGACGGGGGGGCGAGACGGGGGGGCGAGACGGGGGGGCGAGACGGGGGGGCGAGACGGGGGGGCGAGACGGGGGGGCGAGACGGGGGGGCGAGACGGGGGGGCGAGACGGGGGGGTGAGACGGGGGGGTGAGACGGGGGGGTGAGACAGGGGGGTGAGACTGAGGCTCAGGGCGTCGGTGGGTTTGGGGGTTGGGCTGATGGGTGTGAGGTCATGGTCTAGTAGGAAGGGGTTGTCAGGCACATCACATGTATGAAGAAGTGTTTTGAGACGTCTCAAAACACTTCTTCATACACGTGATTCGACTCAAAAGTCACCTCATGGCCTAGTAGGAAGGGGCTGTCAGGCAGGCACATCACATGAGGTGAGAGTGGCAGAGTGGTTGGGTGGGTGGGTCGTGTGAGTGAGAGGGGCAGGGAGGTCGGTATGGTGGAGGTAGGATATGGTGCGTGCACGGGAGGAGGGATGGGTTTGGGCTTGGAATGGTGGAAGGCATGCATTTTTTCTCCGTCTGGTCAATTTTTGAGTCGACTCAAAAGTGTCGTGTGCCATTGTAACAGGGTGACTTTTGAGTCGACTCAATAGTAAGAATGGTGGAAGGCATGCATTGTATCTCCGTCTGGTCAATCTTGCACGCGCCCGTGCGTGTGTATGTCTACTTACGAAGTAACACATCAATGACTGCTTGTGTGCACGTGCGTGGTGTGTGTGTGTGTGTAAACTTCTCTTTCTGCTACTCCCTTGGAACTGAGCAGGTCATTCTGATTCAGGAGCAACTGTCCAAGAACAGAATAATCATTGATTCCGATAGCAAAGGAGGGTGAGGCCAACACAACACGCCACCCACCTCCCCATTACATTACAGCACACATCCCAAAACCCTTTCAAACCCTCCCCACCCCAACCCTCCTCCTCTTCCTTGTCCATCCCCCATCCGTTATCTCGTCACTGCTGTTGTGCTGTTCAAGATGAGGACCTAGATTACCTGCAACGCAAATGGTATGGATAGGTGCAAGCGTGAAAGTTGAAACTCATGGACGTATGCGTGGCGTTGTTGCCTCTATGGTGTGGCTGCTACGTATGCATGTGTGCATGTGTGTGTGTGTGTGTGTGTGTGTGTGTGTGTGTGTGTGTGTGTGCATATGTGTGTGTGTGTGTTTGTGTTTGTGTTTGTGTTTGTGTGTGTGTGTTTGTGTTTGTGTGTGTGTGTTTGTGTTTGTGTGTGTGTGTGTGTGTGTGTTTGTGTGTGTGTATGTGTGTGTGTGTGCATGTGTGTGCAAGTGTGTGTGCGTATGTGCGTGCATGTGCGTATGTGTGTGTGTGTGTGTGTGTGTGTGCATATGTGTGTGTGTTTGTGTTTGTGTTTGTGTGTGTGTGTTTGTGTTTGTGTGTGTGTGTGTGTGTGTGTTTCTGTGTGTGTGTGGATGTGTGTGCAAGTGTGTGTGCGTATGTGCGTGCATGTGCGTATGTGTGTGTGTGTGCGTGTGTAATACAGGGTGGCAGGGTCAGTAACGAGCAGCACGCACGAGCGCAAGAGTAAGACCAACATAGTCATGAAGCACGGCCGCTTCCTGCTGCGCCACAACACCTTCAACGAGGATGTGAGTGCTCGGTTGTGCGGGATTGGGCGCGTATGGAGATATCTCAGAGTGGGTTTGAGACGTCGCAAAAAGCATAGTCATGAAGCAAGCACGGCCGCTTCCTGCTGTGCCACAACACCTTCAATGAGGATGTGAGTTAAGAGTGCGCGAGAGTGGCTGCATTTTGTTTGAGACGACTCACGACGGAGGGATTTGTGGCGCCTCACGTAACGTCCATTGATTGATGATGCACAGGCGCTTCCTGCTGCGCCACAACACCTTCAATGAGGATGTGAGTGTCTCGAGTGCGCGCGAGCGTGGGCACATATTGAGATGCCTCACAGCGGGAAAAGTGGCCCCTCAAAAAGCATTGCGTTGTGATGTATCACGGGCGGTTCCTGCAGCGCCACAACAGATTTAAAGAGGATGTGAAGGAACAAGAGGAAATGGGAGTAGAGCGGGAGGGATGGGTGGGGAGCATGGATGTGGGGAGGTAGTGGGTAGGGGCCAATGGAGGGAAGGGTGGAGGGACAGAGGGACAGAGCGAGGGAGGCGGACAGAAAGGGAGGGAGGAGAACAGAAAAGGGAGGGAGGAGAGAGGAAAGAGGAAGGGGGGAGGATTGGGTGTAAGTTTTTGTTTCATGCTGACGACATGGCTCAAGGTGAATACATGCTTGTGCATGTTCTGTTCAGTTTGGTGATGCCCGTGCATGACATGCAGTATGTGTGCGTGTGCAACGGAAATGCAAAGCACGTTCATGTGTGCGGATGTGATGGCATGCATGTGTGTGGATACATGCGTGTCTGTGGTGGCTGCATGCATGCATGCGTGTGCAATTGCGGATTTACATGTGCATGTGCCACATGTGCACTCACATGCATCCATCCATGCATGCCCACCCACATGCATGCGTTCCCATACAGGTGAACATGGTGATAGCAGTCAAGGCGATGGGGGTGGAGAGCGGTCAAGTTTTGAGACACCTCGTCCATGCATGTATGCTTGCCCACATGCGTGTGTACCCACCTCACACAGGTGAACATGGTGATAGCGCTCAAGGCGATGGGGGTGGAGAGCGATCAGGAGGTGGTGCAGATGGTGGGGCGCGACCCCAAGTACGCTGACCTCCTCGCTCCCACGCTGCAGGTGCGACCCTCCATCGAAACCCCATCTATCTCGAGTCCCGACCTCCTGTCCTCCATGCACGCATACAGCCAGTGCTGCCCCACAGTGTCCGCACTGCACTTGTCATTTGTCCCAGACCTCCGGGGTTTAATACGTTACACGTACGGTGCCATACCTACAGCGCCCCTGGCTGTGATTCCTCCAGAACTTCGGGTCACGATGCATACAGTAGCTTACAGTTCCCCATAGCAACCCCAGCTGTAATCTGTCCAGGTTCAGGGTTTTGATACGTACTGTGACCTGTGACCTACCTACAATGCCCTTGGCTGTAGTTTATCCAGACCTCCAAGTATTGATGCATGCATAAAGTGCCGTCAGCTGCAATATGCCGTGCCGTTAGTGGTGCGACGTCCATGCACGTTTCCCCCTGAGTTCCTCACTTCCTGTGCTTCTTTCGCGAAGCGTGCATGTGTGTCCGTCTGTGCATGTGCATGCGCATATCTTTGTGCATGCGTGTGTGCGTATCTGTTTGCATGTGTTTGCATGCCCCCCGTGTAACCGCTTGTGCATCTGCATGTTCATGTGCATGTGCATGTGCATGTGCATGAACAGGAGTCTGCATCTGCCGGTGTCTTCACGACACAGCAAGCTCTTGAATACTGCGCTACGAGAGTGAGTTGCAAGGGCCTTATGTCCAATCCAAGGGTAAACGTCTTGTGAGATGCCACATAAAGGCTTTCATGCACAGGAGGGGAATTTTGAGGCGCCTCAAAATACACAGGAGGGGAGTACACCCACCTGCCGCAAACCATCGCCTCTGTTCCCTCCGTCTGTCCTCTCCTGTTCGCCCAACCTCCCATCCTCCCATCTTCCCCTCCTCCCATGCGTGCTTCTGGCAGGTGAAGCAAGCCCGTCAAATGTGGGGCCGTGCACGGCGGTCTAGAGTGAGTGCCGCACTCACTGCTGCTGCACTCACTGTCCATATGCACTGTTTCGAATTTGATTCATTCAATTGGATACACAGTTATTGCGCACACTCTGCATCACGACTTTATTTCATCACTTTGTTGCTCATACCACTCCTTTTCATGCCTCCCCACGCCCCTATTGTCCTGTTTCTTTCGCTGTCATCCCTCCCTCGCTCTCTCTGGCACTCTCACCCTTCCTTCTGGTTGGCCTCCTTCTTCTCTTCTCCCTTTTGAGGCGCCTCAAAAGTCCTTCTGGTTGGTCTCCTACTTCTCTTCTCCCCCTTCCTTTCTCCCTCCTCCCTTGCCGCGCCATTTGCCTCCCCTCCCGCCTCTTTTCCACTCCCGACCCACACCTTCTGTCCTCCTCTTGTGCCCTCCCGCATTAGGCTCACCTTCTGCAATGAGTAAGCCCACAACGCGACCAACACATATGGACAGTTTGCACTATTGGCCAACATCACACTATTGGTTTGAAACTCAGTGTAATTCTCCCCCTTCCTTGCATCTGCTCACTCCTCCTTTCCTGTGTGCATGCAGGTGGATGAAGTGCGAGACGTGCTAGCAAACATCGTGCTCTGCCATGTGCCTGTATGTGCACTGCTCCCATGCTCTGAGCACCATCCAGAGCACTGGAACATTTCCATAGCATAGCATAGCATAGCATAGCATAGCATAGCATAGCATAGCATAGCATAGCATAGCATGGCATAGCATAGCATAGCATAGCATAGCATAGCATAGCATAGCGTAGCATAGCATAGCATAGCATAGCATAGCATAGCATAGCATAGCATAGCATAGCATAGCATAGCATAGCATAGCATAGCATAGCATAGCATAGCATAGCATAGCATAGCATAGCATAGCATAGCATAGCATACCATACAATACCATACCATTTGTTGAGTGAGTACTGCGCCGATCATCTTCATGCCGTCCCGTCCCACATCTCCCCATCTTCCCACTCTCGCCCACCCATCCCACCCAGCCATCCATCTCTCACCCGGCCATGCCACCCAATCACCCTCCCGTCATGATCGCCCCCACCAGGTGCACCGGTTTGACTTCAGGGAGAAGTGCATGTTCATCGCTGTCATCCTGCGCCGCATGATGGATGCTCTCATCAACGCCGACGCCGTCGACGACCGGGTGCGTGCGTACTTGTGCGCGTGTGTGCGTGTGTGCGTGCGTGTGTGCGTGCTTGCTCCGCGTGCGTGCGCGCATGATGGATGCTCTCATCAACGCCGACGCCGTCGACAACCGGGTGGGTGCGTGCGTGCTTTGCGTGCGAGCGAGCGAGCGGGTGTGCGCGTATGTGCGTGTGCGTATGCCTGTTTGAGTTAAGAGCGGGCGTGTGTGCGTACGTCTTTGGCTGTTTGAGAGAAGCTGGTGGGCGTGTGTGCGTACGTCTTTGATTCAAAGTTCAATCTTGTTCCATATGCTTTGAGGAGGCCTTGCGTTTCTTGCATACACACCTTCCGGCATTCTGCCTGCTTCTTGTTTGTCGTTCCCTCCTGCCGCATCCCTCATATTTCCTCATCTTCTCATTTTACTTTCCCCTCCTTTCCTCATTCCACCTCTTTCCTCCTTGTTCTCGCCCTCCGTAACCCCTCACCCATCCCTCTTCTTCCGTTCGGTTCCGTTCTGTTCCATTCTGTTCCGTCCAGGATTACTACGGCAACAAGCGTCTGGAGCTCTCAGGCCAGCTGGTCTCACTGCTCTTTGAGGTCAGTTCAAACTCTCATCTCATGCACCTAGAGCCTGGCAGGACAGGACCTGTTCAAGCGCACGACACTGTACCTGAGGCAACAGACAGTCAGTCACCTTCCCCCCTTCGCTCCTCTCTCTCCCCGATCCCCCCTCTGCCCCTTCCCGCCCCCCACCGTCCCTTTTGTTACAGGGCCTGTTCAAGCGTGTGAAACATGGAGCTGAAGCAGCAGAGGGTCAGTCGACTTGCCTCCCCCTCCTTTGCTTCACCGTCAACTCCTCCTCCTTCTTTACCTTCCCCCTCCGCCTCCCCCCCCCCCCCCCTTCCCACTCCCGCGTCCCCCTCCCCCTTCCCCCTCCCCTTTCTCCCTCCGCCTTCCCCCTCTCCGTTCCCCCTCCCCCTTCCCGCTCCCCTTTCCCGCTCTGCTGCCCTCAGGACCTGTTCAAGCGCATGAACATGGAGCTGAGGCGACAGGCCGATGCCATTCTCTCTAAATCCAACCGAGCCACACAGTTTGACATTGCCAAGGCAAGCCAGGGGGGGCGCAGTATGGGGGGAAAGAGTGAGGGGGCGTGTGGTGAAGCGGGTGGGAGAACTGAGAGAGGGTGGGTGGGAGGAGTAGCAAGAGAGGGAGGGTGGGTGGTAGGGTATATGTGGTGTGGGGGTATATGTGGTGTGGGGGTATATGTGGTGTGGGGCATGAGTGTTGGGGGAGGGAGGAGATACATTGCGTGGCGAGATCTGAGATGTGGGGGTGGAAAGGGAGAGGAGATGGGGAGATGAGGGTAGAGATCGGGTGGAGTAGGAGGGACAGTCATGGAGGAAGTGGAAGGGAGATTGGATTTTGTCATGTGCATGTGCATTTGAATGTGCATATGCATGCGAATGTGCATGTGCATGCGATCGTGCATGTGCATGCGAATGTGCATGTGCATGCGAGTCTGCATGTGCACTGAAGCATGTGGATGCGTTTTCCGTGTGAATGCACGTACGCACGCTTGAGCGCTTGGTTCGGCTCAGAAATGCGCGAACCATTTGACATGGCATGGCATTTTGACAAGTACTCTAAAGCCTTATCTTTTAAACCCATGCTATGTGGGGCCCTGTGTGTTGTTCCCCATCAGTGCATTCGGCCGGACATCATAACATACGGGTTGGAGCATGCCATCTCCAGTGGCAACTGGACAGTCAAGCGATTCCGCATGGATCGCAAAGGAGTCACCCAGGTGTGTGCACCACACTCACACTCACACTCACACTCACACTCGCACTCACACTCGCACTCACACTCACACTCGCACTCACACTCGCACTCCCACTCGCACTCCCACTCGCACTCGCACTCGCACTCACACTGGCACTCCCACTCGCACTCCCACTCGCACTCCCACTCACACTCACACTCGCACTCGCACTCACACTTGCACTCACACTCGCACTCGCATTCGCACTCACACTTGCACTCACACTCGCACTCACACTCGCACTCGCACTCGCACTCACACTCGCACTCGCACTCGCACTCACACTCACACTCACAAATCACAATTCACAACCCACAGCCCACCTCTCTTGGCCTCTGAGGTGCCGTGACAGAGTCGCTTGTTAGAATCATCTGAAGTGCGTCGCGCCGCCACTCTTGAGCAATCCAGTCCTCATCAGGGTACACTCACTTGGTTCTACCTTGGCCAGTCTCGCTCGCAATTCCCGTTTCATTGATCTGATTTCCTTCCTGTCGTCTCCCCTGGCAGGCATGACTTAAGTGGCACGGCAGGCCTCCCTCACGTTTTTTTACACCCTCTTGTCCCTCGACTCGCCTATTCCTCCCTCACCTCCCCTCCTTGTTCCACCGCGACCCCTACCTTCCCTCCCCTCCGGGCCCCCCTCCCACTGCATGCAATGAATCGAGCCATCCGCAGGTGCTGTCACGGCTGGCGTTCATCGGGGCCTTTGGGCACATGACGCGCATCACATCGCAGTTTGAGAAGACGCGTAAAGTCAGCGGCCCTCGCGCACTGCACCCCAGCCAGGTGAGAGTGCGCTCGGACTGTACTGTGGGTGGGTGGGACAATTTTTCGAGTCGACTTACGGTTTCACCCCAGCCATGTGCGCCCCTCTGTGACACACTGCTGCCCTGCTGCACTGCTGCCCCGCTGCACTGCTGCCCCGCTGCACTGCTGCCCCGCTGCACTGCTGCCCCGCTGCACTGCTGCCCCGCTGCACTGCTGTCCCGCTGCACTGCTGCCACTGTGGAAGGGTACCGTAGCGGGGTGGAGGGTAGTAGCGCTAGCACTCGTGTTGCTGCCCTTCAAGTCATTCTTCTTTCCTTTAGTCAATTGATTTCACTATCATTACACCGGTAACCCACCAGAGGGAGAGGCACATCTGGTCTTGACGTGCCCCCACCCCACCACATTCTCCCACTTCCCACCCACCCTCTCTTCCCTCTCTTTTGCCCCCTGCCCCCACCACACCCCCTCCCCCTCTCCCTCCCTCTGCTCTGGCGTAGTGGGGCATGGTGTGTCCAGCGGACACACCAGAGGGAGAGGCGTGTGGGCTGGTGAAGAACCTGGCGCTCATGACGCACGTCACCACTGACGAGGAGGAGGCACCGCTCGTACGCCTCGTGAGTGTCTGCCTACCTAGTTGGCTTTTTTAGTCGACTCAAAAGTGAAGAACCTGGCGCTCATGACACACGTCACCACGGATGAGGAGGAGGCACCGCTCGTACGCCTCGTGAGTGCCCGTGGTCCTCTCACGCACATGCACACACCTTGTGCACGAGCGCACGCGCGCACGGGCGCACACCCACAAACACACACCTAGCTCATTCCCTGCCCTTTCCTCCCTTTGCTTTCCAGTGTCACAGTCTAGGAGTGGAGGACTTACACGTGCAGTCAGCGGAGGAGATTCACGGTGCCTCCACCTACATGGTTTTCCTCAACGGTCTCATTCTCGGCGTGCACCGCCGTCCCCTCGTGAGTATCCACCTTTTGTTTCTTGGCGCCTTAACAGTCTTGAGGCGCCTCCTGCATAACCTACGTGGTCTTCCTCAACGGTTTCATCCTCGGCTGCACTGCCAGCGCCGGGCTCCTCATGAGCCCAGCAAAAAAAAAGAAAAAAGAAGCACACACACACAAACACAAAGATACAGACGCGTACACTCGCACACGCACATGCAGATGCACGCAAACCTAAGCTTTCGAGATGTCCCTCCCTCTCTCTTGCCCTCCTTCATTCCTCTGTCCTTCTCTCCCTCCGTCCCTCCTCTTCAGAAATTCTCTGATGCGTTGAGGAAGCTGAGAAGGGCGGGCAAGGTGCCGGAGTTTCTCAGCATATACGTGCACAGTGCACAGGTACGCCATTCGGCTGTTCATGATGCTCTATACAGCTGTTCGTGGCATTCAGGTGACTTCCTCGGAGTGGCACAGTGCCTCGCTTGCTTGCAATTATCATTGTATCCTTTTGATCCGCCTATGTACACACGCTGTGTACTTTTCTTCTTGTGTGTCTGACATTTCAGTGCACTCCTGCCTCCTGTCTCCTCACCTCTCACCTATCCTCTTCTCTTCTCACTGTTTTGACTCGCCTCAGCTTTCCATCTTACTCCCTGTCACTCGTTCGTACTCACTTACCCCTGCCCTGTCACTCACTTGCCCTCCCTGTCCCTGCCTCCTGCCGTGCAGCGGTCGGTGATTCTGGCGGCGGATGGGGGGCGGGTGTGTCGGCCACTGGTGATAGCAGACAAGGGCGTGTCGCGAGTGAAGAAGCACCACATACAGGAGCTCAAGGCACGTGGCGCGTGGGCCGTGTGCGGTGCTGCGCTGTTCTGTTCTGTGCTGTGCGGTGCTGTGCTGTGCTGTGCTGTGCTGTGCTGCTGTGCTGCGTGCAGTTTGTGTGTGTGCTGTGCGCAGTTCGTGCAATTTATGTGCGGGCTGTCCGTGTGTGTAGTGCTGGACATGGAATGATTCTGGTTGGCTCGGAATGTTCACAGGTGAACCGTCCCCACCCCCATTCCCCCCCATGTTTGTTATATATCTATTGCTTTTGAAAGTTAACTTCGTGGTCTTTGGGTCTTTTTCGAAACATGTACAATTGCATTTCAGCAACAGAGGCCACCAAGCATGAAATCACGATTGACGTTGCATGGCAGCAGTAGCTCTCCCGCGACCCCTTGTTGTGTTTACCTTCTTCTCCTTGTTTGCTGCTTGGAATCCGTGTTATCAGCGAAGAGGGGGGGAGGGATTAGCTAACCTTGGCGTGGCGTGGCGTGGCGTGGCGTGGCGTGGCGTGGCATGGAGGGAAAAGTGTTTTAACTCACATTGCATCCTCTGTTCTCCCTGCGTGCAGGATGGCATTCGCACGTTTGACGATTTCCTGAGGGAGGGCCTTGTGGAGTACTTGGATGTGAACGAGGAGAACAACGCACTGGTAATATCCATTCGTGAGATGAGGAATCCTTATTCAGTTTTCCAAGGTGCATCTCAAATAGGCCTGGTGTGACGAGTACTTGAATGGTGTTTGAGTGAATATGGTTTATACTCGAATATGGTCTGGATGGAGAGGTAGCACTTGGTTGAATGTGAGCGTGAATGCAGGGTGGTATAGTTATAATGTTCTGGCATGCGTGGCCCCCAACCAGCGCAGTACTCCCTCACTTTGTTGAACTTTCAGAAGAGTGTTTTTCTTCTCCTTGTTTCCTTTTTCTGCTCGCGCTCTATCCTTTGTCTCTCTGTCCCTTTGTCCCTCTCTCCCTGTGTCTGTCCTTTACAGATCGCACTGTACGAGTGGGAGGCGACACCGGAAACGACGCACATCGAGATCGAGCCTCTGTCACTCGCTCTCTTTTCCGCTGTCTCTCTGTTCCCCTGTTCCTGTATTCGTCGCTCCCTCTCTCTGTCCTGCGCAGATAGCGCTGTACGAGTGGGAGGCAACACCGGAAACGACGCACATAGAGATCGAGCCGTTCACCATCCTGGGAGCATGCGCGGGCCTCATTCCCTACCCCCACCACAACCAGTCGCCCCGAAACACCTACCAGGTGCGGCAATAGCTTGTAGCATGTGGCATGTAGCATGTGGCATGTAGCATGTGGCATGTAGCATGTGGCATGTAGCATGTGGCATGTGACTTGTGGCATGTGGCATGTCACGTGTGTTACATGTGCGCAGCGTACACAGCATGTGGTATATAGCATGAAGCAAGTTGCATCATGCAATGCGCGCACACACCTGTGCGCACAGCCTTACTCCCCCCCACACATCGTTCTGTCCGTGTGTTGCTGTGCGCGCCTCTCCCTCCCCTCAGTGTGCTATGGGCAAGCAAGCCATGGGCAACATGGCTTATAACCAGGTGAGTCAGGGCGTGAAAGCAGGTGAGTCAGGGCATAAGGGAAATTCTCGTTGCTTTAGGACAATTGCCTTATCTCCTGCTACTTTTGCTCTCCCTCCTCCTTCTGCACGCTGTTTTTCCGTGTTTTCCCCTCACCATCTCTTCTCCTCCCCGAATCTTGATTTTATTCCCTAGAGAACATGTTCTTTCTGTGTGTTTCCCAATGCGCACGTGTGCACGTACCTGAGTTGTTTTTTTTATGCATGATCCACCTGCGTCTGTGTATTGATATGCATGTCCGCCTGAGCATGTGCATGTGTGCATGAGTATGTATATCTGCATGTGTGTGTGCATGTGTGTGTGCATGTGTGTATGCATGTGTGTGTGCATGTGTGTGTGCATGTGTGTGTGCATGTGTGTGTGCATGTGTGTGTGCATGTATGTGTGCATGTGTGTGTGCATGTATGTGTGCATGTATGTGTGCATGTATGTGTATGTGTGTATGTATGTGTGCATGTATGTGTGCATGTATGTGTATGTGTGTATGTGAGCGTGCCCCTCATCCTATCCCACAGCTCGGTCGCATGGACACGCTTCTCTATCTTCTCGTCTATCCCCAGCGGCCACTGCTCACCACGCGAACCATCGAACTCGTATGTATTCTCTTTCCCACCCCTTCTTCTCCTTCCAACCCAGACTATATGTCCTTCATATTCAAGTCTTGTCCAGTCCTAAATCATGGCATCCACTACCTAACCAATTTCATTTCTTGAGGCACCTCAATATAGATGAGAGCCTTGTCCTTGAGTCCTGACACATGACATCCACTACCTAATCGATCACTTCAGCCCGAGTTCTTCCACCTTATCCTTATCACTTCAGCCCAAAATCCCTCTCTTTCAAGCTTAGTCGCCGCAAATGCCACCTCCGCAATGGACCTGGCTTCCCGCTGCGCACATGCACACGCACTCGCAACCACATGCATGCATGCGCCCCTCCTCCTCTCCTCCCCACCCCTCCCGTAAACACACGGTCCAGGTGGGGTATGACAAGCTGGGGGCGGGGCAGGGCAGAGCACATCGATTGCAGTGATGAGCTACAGCGACTTTTGAGACGTCTCAAAAGCCCTCCTTCCTCCACCACTGCCTTCAACTCCCAATGCACGCACGTACGTGCATGGCAGGTGGGGTATGACAAGCTGGGAGCGGGGCAGAACGCGTCGATCGCGGTGATGAGCTACAGCGGGTACGACATCGAGGACGCCATTGTCATGAACCGCTCCTCCCTTGACCGTGGCTTCGGCCGCTGCATCGTCATCCGACGGTACGCACGCCTCCATCTCATGGTGGTCGTGGCGTGGTGGTGATCCTGGTGGGCGTGTTTGTGCATGGTGATTTGATGGTGTGATGGTGTGATGATGTGATGGTGAAGGGGATGATACGAGTTTGGCGTTCTCCAATGGTATGCCATGCTGTGGGCTGTGAGTGGGGTAGTGGTTTTGAATAATTGTAAAGCCAAACCTGATTTGCATCTCCCGCAGCACGGTGTCCTGCTGGCTCTCCCCGCTCTCCCTCCCTCTTCACCCCTTTCCCTTCCCCCTTCGTCCACCAGCTACGCCACGAACATCAAGAAGTATGCCAACCGCACATCAGACCGCATCGTGGGCCCCACACTGGTCCCGGCGGGGAAGGGCGGGGCGGGCATGGTGGTGCAGCCGCGCTGCCAGCTGCAGGACCACGACGGCATCGCTGCCCCGGGGGAGTTCATCCGCCCAGGAGACATCTATGTGAACAAGCAGAGCCCTTCGAATACCAGAGACGCAATTCTCAACCCCATGGCACTTCCAGACACGTGAGTGGCTGGTCCGGGGGCGTGGCTTTCTCCTTTTGTTGCAAAGGGGTGTGTTTTATTTGCAAGTATGATTGCATTGCAAACAAGGGTGAATTTCGAAATAGGGCAAGGAGTGTGGATCATAGGTTCTGATTTCAGCCTACAGATTATTTCGTTCCTTTTTTGTTCCCTTACCTCTGCCCGTCCCACGCACCCATGTGGCTGGTTACATGCAATGCAACTTACTGCTTCCTCTGCAAAGCCCCTCCTTTCTTTCTTTCTTGAGCTCAACTTTATCATGATCTTTGCAACTCCCTTCCTTGTTTTTTATCGACTCACCGTTGCCACCACCTTCACGCATGTGTATGTTGTGCGTATGTGTCTCTGAGGCAGGTTTTACAAGCCGACCCCGTCGTCGTACAAGGGACCACCGGGCGAGACAGCGGTTGTGGATAAGGTGCTGCTCACGAGCAACGAGGAGAACCACTTCGTCATCAAGTGCCTCGTCAGACACACGCGCCGCCCCGAGGTAACGAGGGGGCATGAGGAAGTGTTAAGACACGTCACACGCCCTGGGCCGAGGTAACGTGGGGTCCATGGGAGAGAGAACGGGGAGAACCACTTCGTCGTCAAGTGCCTCGTTAGACACATGCGCCGCCCCGAGGTAATCTGTGGATCATGGGGTGGGGGGGGTGTGGTTTGAGTCATCTCACACACACTCGCATAATCAGGGGAGGTTTTAGCACACTTTCTAGGGAAAATTAAGCTGAGAAGGTGAGAGGAAATGGGGGGAGGGAAGGAGGGAGGGGACGAAGAGAACCATTTTGTCATCGCGTGTCTTGTGCGTGCACCACATACGCCCGCCCGAGCTTGGGCTGAGAAGGGCCGAGCTTGGGCTGAGAAGGGCCGAGCTTGGCTTTTTGATCGCCCAGCCAGTTGCTTCCGAGGCATGTGTGGTTTGGCCTGAGTAAATTTTCGAGATTTCAAAATGAGACGCCAAGCTCCAGGTTGGGGGGCGAGGTCAGGTCAGGACCAGGCATGGAAAGAAGCTCACAGTTGGGCAAGCACGTTCACTTGGGTAAAAAAAAAAAAAAAAAAAAATCCGCCCTCTCGACCACACTTCTCCTCCACCCCTTGTGTGGTGCATCCCTGCTTCCTACCCTTCTCCCTGCTCCACTCCCCACTCTTCCCATGCACACTCTCTCCTCTTCGTATCCTCTCTCTCCCTCTTTCTCCTCCCCCCACTCTTTCTCTCCCCCTATCTCAGCTGGGGGACAAATTCAGCAGTCGGCACGGGCAGAAGGGAGTGTGCGGTATCATCCTACCCCAAGAAGACTTCCCTTTCACGGAGAAGGGCGTGTGCCCGGACCTGATCATGAACCCGCACGGCTTCCCCAGTCGCATGACGGTGGGGAAGATGATAGAGCTCATCGGGTCCAAGGCGGGCGTGCTATCGGGCAAGTTCCACTACGGCAGCGCGTTTGGGGAGCCCAGCGGCCACGCTCACACTGTTGACGCCATCAGCGCCACTCTTGTTTCCCACGGCTTCAGCTACTGCGGCAAGGACATTCTCTACTCTGGTGAGGCGTTTGCACCGTTTCAATAGGGGTAAAATTGATTGTAGTTTTGAAGGGTGCCGTGTGCACACGGTAGTGCGCAGCCATCAGCGCCACGCTCATCTCGCACGGCGCTTCAGCTACTGCCGCAAGGACATTCTCTACTCTGGTGAGGCCACAGCTGGGGTAGGGTGGTGAGATGAGAACGCCGTGTCCTGTTTGGGTTTGTGCGAACGGCCGTGCACATGGTGGGGTTAAAGCATCGCTTGGAGCTGGCAGCGCCACGCTCGTCTCGCACGGCTTCAGCTACTGCGGCAAGGACATTCTCTACTCCGGTAGGGTGGGGGGCATGTCAATGGGGTTAGTGTAGCTTCTACTTCTGAAGGTTGCCGTGTGCACACGGTAGTGCGCTGCGCACACATCAGCGGCGCCACGCTCGTCTCGCACGGCTTCAGCTACCGCGGCAAGGACATTCTCTACTCCGGTAGGGCAGGGGAGTTGCGTCTGGGTCCTGTTTCCATTCGGTCTGGTTTCTGGGGTCGGAAGTGTCCCGTGCACGCGGTATTGAGCAGAGCAGCCATTAGCACCACGCTTGTCTCACTTCAGCTTCAGTGGAGTAGACTGTAGAGCAGACATCCTCTACTCCAGCAGGTGTATTTTGAGGCGCCTCAAAATTCTTCTCACTTCAGCTACTGTGGCGAGGAGATCCCCTACTCCGGTAGGGTGACTTTTGAGTCGACTCAAAAGTCACGTCTGTGGCGAGGAGATCCTCTACTCCGGTAGGGTGGCTGGTTGGTTGCTGCTGCATGAGATTCTTGTAAAGGAATCGTTTGTCTCATATTCAAGAGCTTGCGATTTGCTAGTGCACCTCTTGCTGTCATGCGTTATTTGCTATCCGTTCTGCTCCCTCTTCATCTGTCACCTGTTACAACCCATCAACCCATCACCATCCGTGTATCCCCTTTCCTCGTGTTGTTCTGCCTTCCACTCAACCACCCACCAGGGCTATCGGGAGAGCCCCTCCAGGCGTACATCTATGCTGGCCCTTCGTGTGCCTCTCATTCCATTCCGTCTCTCATTATCCCCTTGTCATTGTCAACCTGCCTGCCCTCCCACCCACCCGCCCTACCCCCACCCACCAGGGCTATCGGGCGAGCCCCTCCAGGCGTACATCTATGCTGGCCCTGTGTATTACCAGAAGCTCAAGCACATGGTGAGTTATGGTTACCAGCTGCATTGAGTGGATTGCTCTGAACACTGCAGTTACCAGGTGCAGAATGGTACTGTTGTGAGTGTTCTAGTTTTGAGGCGCCTCAAAACCAGGTGCAGAATGGTACTGTTATGATTGTTGGGTGATGTGTGTGTGCTAACTCTTCCCAGTGCTGCTTCCACTCATGAAAATGCCCTTTCACTTCTCATTCCCTCCTTTCCCTCCCTATCTCTCCCTCCACACGTTTCTTCCTTTCTGTCTTTCCACTCCTCAACTTTCCCCTTTCCTCCTCTCTCCTCTCTCCTCTCTCCTCTCTCCTCTCTCCTCTCTCCTCTCTCCTCTCTCCTCTCTCCTCTCTCCTCTCTCCTCTCTCCTCTCTCCTCTCTCCTCACTCCTCTCTCCTCTCTCCTCTCTCCTCTCTCCTCTCTCCTCTCTCCTCACTCCTCTCTCCTCTCTCCTCTCTCCTCTCTCCTCTCTCCTCTCTCCTCTCTCTACTTGCCTCGTGCAGGTGATGGATAAGATGCATGCGCGTGCCAGGGGTCCCAGAGTGGTGCTCACAAGACAGCCCACAGAGGGGAGGAGCAGGGATGGAGGTCAGTCCCCCTCTTTCTTTAGGCTCCCTTCTTTTCAATGTTTCTCAGAATCCCCCACGGTTTCCCCTACACATAAACTTCCAGTCAACTCAAAAATTAGCTCCCCGTTGCTCTTTCTTTAATGCACCCATGCATGTTTGTATGCATACACCACACACACGCGTGCACACGCATGTGAACATGCATACAATCATTGCACATTGAGGAGGATCATGTGCACGCATGAACACACACACACACACACCCCCACACATCCACACACACACACACACACACATGCTCTGGCATCCCCCACCCTGCCCTCACCCTCTCTCCCCCATACCAGGGCTGCGTCTGGGTGAGATGGAAAGTGGCTGTCTCATCGCGACTTCTCAGACGTCTCAAAAACCACCCCCTCACCCCCTCTGCCTCATGCCAATCCGCTCCAGGGCTGCGTCTGGGTGAGATGGAGCGTGACTGTCTCATCGCGTACGGTGCCAGCATGCTCATTCTGGAGCGCCTCATGATCTCCAGCGACCAGTTCCAAATACAGGTGCGCACCGCACTCACGCACTCTCAAGGCCTTGCGCTGTTTCCGGATGGTTCCTAACTTGACTCAAACTTCATGGCAGTCCTGAGTCGACTCAAAACGCTTTTTTCTAGAAAACCTGGTTTTGGGGTTGACTGAGAAGCCAGCATGCTCATTCTGGAGCGACTTATAATCTCCAGCGACCAGCCCCCATGTGCTTGCTTGCTGCACCACTCGCACAAGTTTCGAGCTACATCCTGATTTCCTCTCATACTAATTCCACATCTCCTCTCTCTCTCTCTCTCTCTCTCTCTCTCTCTCTCTCTCTCTCTCTCTCTCTCTCTCTCTCTCTCTCTCTCTCTCTCTCTCTCTCTCTCTCTCTCTCTCTCTCTCTCTCTCTCCCTCCCCGCAGGTGTGCACCAAGTGCGGGCTGCTGGGGTACTTCCACCAGAAGCTGCGCGTGCCCATGTGCTCGCTGTGCCGCACGGGAGAGCACGTGGCAGAGCTGCGCCTGCCGTACGCCTGCAAGCTGCTGTTCCAGGAGATGACCGCCATGAACATTGTGCCCCGGCTGCAGCTCACAGAGGCGTAAAGGAGCGGGCATTGTGGCGGGGTCGTACAAGGGATGAGTGGGAGGCTGAGTCGCCCTGGAAAGGCGTGCGTGGGTGGAAGCAAGCTGCTGTTCCAGGAGATGACCTGACCGCCATGGAACATTGTGCCCCGTCTGCAGCTCACCGAGGCGTAGAGAGAAGAGGAAGGAGAGGGGGTTTCACGGGGCTCTCATCACAAGTGATACGCTTGCAAGCTGCTGTACACATGCAAGCTGCTGTTCCAGGAGATGACCTGACCGCCATGAACATTGTGCCACGGCTGCAGCTCACAGAGGCATAGGGAGGGCTGGATTCCATGAGGCTTTTCTTACAGAAGCTGCTGTTTGCATGCAGGCGTCATGTTCCAGGAGATTACTGCTGTGAACAGAGGCACAGAGCCATGGTCTTCGATATTGTTGCCTAGGTGGTCTCGATGGGGTAGACTAGACGGCTGGATAGGTGTGGAAAAGTAGATGGTTAGACAAAAGTGTACATATGAGATGTACGGCGCTTGCGTTTAGTTGGTGATTTAGAATGGCTAGCTGCTACTAGAGTTCTACAGTAGAATGCAGTAAGTGCAACTCATGTGCAACTCGTGCTGCATATGCCTGGGGAAAGGATGTGGTTGGACGGTTTGTGCATGGATGGTTGAATACCATAATCCAAACCACACGCAGCATGCAATGATGCAACCCATGAACAGGTAACACAATAAACAACATGCGCTTGGGAAGGTCTTCCTTGACTACCGTATGAATTCCAGGGCTAGGGCGACAGAACAGAAAGAGAGCTCTTGAGCCATGATGACAACATGTCTGCCTACTCTTCCTCTCCTCGCTCCAACCCCTCTACTGCCCCAAAATCCCCTCAATTCCCATAACATCCACGACCCATACACCCAAACCAAATACAGCCACATCCCCATATCCCTCCCCACCCCACCCTCCATCCATCACCATGCTTCCTCCACCACCACTACCGCCACCTGTCAGGCTGTCACTTTAGCCAACAGCCCTTACATTGCCCCAGTGTCAAATGTTGTAGCCTATAGTGAGGTTTGTCTTAGGGGGTACAGAAGTTAGGGTTTGTCATATGTACCCCAACCAACATCAATGGAAACACCATTCCTCATTCTGACATGGTATCAGCTAGGTTAGGATCCTGTGGGATCCCGTTCCTCCGTTCTCCGTTCGTACCTCCCGAGCCTGATCCTACCTCTCGTTCGTACCAGTTCCGTTGTTACCGAGCCTAGCGCCCTTTCCCCCGTCGCTTAGCGCCCTTTCTCCCCGTCGCCTAACGCCCCCCCCCCCCCCCCCCCCCCTTCCCCCCGTCGCGTCGCGCCCTTTCCCCCCCCCCGTCACGCCCTTTCCCCCCGTCGCGTCGCGCCCGTTCCCCCCGTCGCGTCGTGCCCGCCTGTTCCCCCCCCGTCCCGTCGCCCTGTCCCGTCGCGTCGCCCTACCCCGTCCCGTCGCCCTGTCCCGTCCCGTCGCCCTGTCCCGTCGCGTCGCCCTACCCCGTCGCGTCGCCCTGCCCCGTCCCGTCGCCCTGCCCCGTCGCGTCGCCCTGTCCCGTCGCGTCGCCCTGCCCCGTCGCGTCGCTCCCGCCCTTTCCCCCGTCGCGTCGCCCTGCCCTACGCCCTGGCCCGTCGCCCTGCCCTAAGCCCTGGCCCGTCGCCCTACCCTAGGCCCTGGCCCGTCGCCCTCCCTAAGTCCTAGCCCGTCGCCCTACCCTAGGCCCTGGCCCGTCGCCCTACCCTAGGCCCTGGCCCGTCGACCTACCCTAGGCCCTGGCCCGTTGCCCTACCCTACGTACTGGCCCGTCGCTCCAGCCCGCTCTTCCGCTGCGACTGAGTCCTCTTCCCCCCCTGTTGTTACTCGCCTGTTCGTTCGCTTTAGTCCTCACTATGGCGACTCCGCGAGTTCTTCGTTTCGACGCTGACGGTAGACCCCTTGACTTTTCCGTCTGGCTTCTTCGCGCTCGCCGTCTGTTAGAGAGTCAGGTCCAGGGGGGCGAGACCCTCTGGTCACACTCTACTGGTGACCTCCCTGAGCCCCCCGAGCCTACAGCTTTAGGCCCTACTCCTGACGACGCTGCTACGGCTCGCTTTGCCCGTCAGCGCGCTGACCGGACGGCTTGGACGTCGCGTGACGCTGCGGCCTGCATCGCACTCAGCAGCCTCCTCCCTGAGTCCGAGGAGGTCCACTTTACTCAGGTTCGCACCGCTGCTGCGTACCTCACTGCGATTAAGGCCCGCTACTCTACTCCCGCTACTGTCTCTCTTGGCCGTCTTTTCCTCCCGTTCCTGTTTCCTGATCTTGCCTCGTTTGAGCACTCTGCTGACTTGATCGCTCACCTCCGCTCGCTCGACGCTAGTTACCGTGCTGCTTGCACTGAGGCACAGCTTACACTGCTTCCTCCACCCATGGCGATCACTGTCTATTTCATCGCCACTAGCCTCCCTGACCGCCTTGCCTCCGTTCGTGACGCGCTTCTGCTGAAGCACCCTAGTGAGCTGACTATCGAGGTCCTTGAGTCTGCACTCAAGGACGTCGAGAGCAACCTTCGTTCGGTAGCTGCCGCCTCTGGTACTGTGTCCCCCCCACTCTTCCACGGGTGCACAGTCCCGCAGTTACCCACCTTCACTGCCTCTCTTGCCACTGCCGCTACTGACGCGACTGCGGCTGCTGTTACGACTGCGTCGCGGTCCCGCGGCAGGGGGGGCAAGAAAGGTGGTTCTGGTGGAGGTGGAGGCGGAGGTAGCGGAGGTAGTGGGGGTGCTGTTGCGACTGGGGGTGGTGGGAGTGCAGCGTCTGGAGAGACCCCTCGTGCAGCGGGTGGTGACTCCACTGCACCTGCTGGTGGCGGCGACCCCCGAGCTCGTCAGTCGCCTCCTGTACTGCCGGCCCCGCTAGGTGGAGCAGCGGCGTGGTACCAGGCTCAGCGTCAGCAGCACCTTCAGCAGCAGCAGCAGCCCCTTTTCTCCCAGCAGCCTCAGCAGCAGCAGCGTCAGCAGCTGGCTCCGGGGTCGGGGCTGCGTCAGCCCCAGCGCGGTGCGGCTTACCCTCCCTGCCCCTACCAGGTTCAGACAGGTCCTCGTCGGGGCCACCCTTGTGGCCGCTTTCACCCCCCTGGTCAGTGCTTTGCTCAGCTCACTGACACGGTCCGGTTGACCTACGGGGTTGGCGGTCCTGCTCCTGACTGGCTTCCTCTGGTTCAGCGCTACGGCTCCGCTCTGTGGGGCATGTCTGCTGAGCAGTTAGTTGATCTGATTAGTGCTCCTCATGCTATGTATGCTGTTGTTGACTCTAGTGTTTCTGACTCTGTTTACTCTGGTGTTGTTAGCTTAGGTGCTAGTCTTGCTCAGTTGCCTGTTGCTAGTGTAGGTACTTGTGTAGACTCTAGACCTGCGACTACCTCAGGGGACGCTTCGCTGTCGTTCACACTGGACTCTGGAGCCTCCCACTGCTTCTTCCGGGACAGCACGACACTTACACCACTTCCTGCGCCTGTTTCTGTAGCGTTGGCTGATCCCACTACGGGACCAGTCACTGCACGTCACACTACCACTTTACCGTGTCCTGCTGCTCCCTCCGGGTCTCTCACTGGGTTTCACGTCCCCTCGTTCTCCCGGAACTTGGTGGGCGTGCGACCCCTCGTGAGCCAGCACGTGGGTGTGTGGTTTGAGCCTTCTGGAGAGACTGCGGTGTGTGTTGACGGAGACTCTTACCAGCCTCTTGCTACCTTTACTGCTGAGCCGGGCTCGGGTCTCTACACTCTTCACACTGGCCCGCGTGCGCCGCAGCAGCAGCCGCAGCAGCAGCAGCAGCCGCAGCCGCAGCAGCAGCAGCAGCAGCAGCACCAGCGGCCGCACCAGCAGCCCCCCCTACTGCCACTGCCCCCGGTTCCCCCCCCCGTTCGGGTCCCCGCGTCTCACCAGGTTGCTACGTCCCCCCAGGTGTCTGTGTCGTGTCAGGTTCCTCCGTCTGTTCCAGTCGCTGCGTCGTGCTCCTGCCGGTCGCTTGCCCACCCCACCGTTCTGTGGCACCACCGGATGGGGCACCCGTCCCTTCCACGTCTGCGCGCTATGTCTAGTCAGCGTCTTGTCCTAGGCCTGCCACGTGTCTTGCCGTCGCTGCCGCCTTCGCTTGCGCCGCCGTGTCGTCCCTGCGTCGAGGGTAGGCTGCGCGCCACCCCTCACTCCTCCTCCCTTCGTCTAGCCACCGAGCCTTTTGAGACGCTTCACTTGGACGTCTGGGGCCCCGCCCCTCGTCTAGGCCCTGAGCGTGAGCGTTACTTTCTGGTGGTCGTTGACGACTTCTCCCGCTACACCACAGTGTTCCCACTGGCAAAGAAGTCTGAGGTGACTTCTACGCTGATCAGGTGGTTGCTCACCACCGAGGACACTCGTGGTCGTCGTGTCAGCGGTCTCCACTCCGATCGTGGGGGTGAGTTTTGCTCCGGCATTCTCGCTGGATTCTGTCGCGAGCAGGGCGTTCGACAGTCCTGGACGCTTCCAGAGTCCCCACAGCAGAATGGGGTTGCTGAGCGCCGCATAGGCCTGGTCATGGAGATCGCCCGCACCTCCCTGACTCACGCCTGTGCCCCCCATTTTCTGTGGCCCTACGCGATCAGGTACGCCGCGCACCAGCTGAACCTCTGGCCACGTGTCTCTCGACCAGAGGTTTCACCGACCAGTCTTTGGACAGGGTCCCCTGGTGTTGCGTCGCGGTTTCGTGTCTGGGGGTGCTTGGCTCTTGTCCGCGACACCTCCGCGGACAAGCTCTCGCCTCGTGCCGTCCCCTGTGTCTTCCTTGGTTTCCCTGAGGACTCCTCTGAATTCACCTTTTACCACCCTCCCTCTCATCGGTTCTTTGACTCCCGTGACGTCCGTTTCGAGGAGTCCACTCCGTACTACGTCAGGTACCCCAGTCGAGGTCTCCCGGTTCCTCCTCCCCCCCTCTTCCTGACTGCCGCTCCCCCTCCTGCTCCCCCGGTACAGCCT